TTTTGCTTTCAAATTTCAACTAAAGATTAACATAAAGCACGAGTTCAAACAAAGAAAATTTTTAATTCAGAAAAAAAAAAACTCACTCTGGTGAAGGTATTGGGAGTTCAGGATATATAGAAGAAAGAATTTGAGCCATTTCTACTAGCGTTATATTGTGGGAGGAACAAATATTTCTCCCCGAGGCAGCAGCCTCAGGATGCTCAAGTAGGAAGATGTGAGCCATGGCTACATCATCAACATGCACCATGGATATGTTCGGGAGATAACTATATTCTTCACGGTTTCCTGAAGAGATTCAGAGTTTCATGCATCAACATGATATAGTTTTTCCTCTTCAGAAAGTTAATAAAAAGGAAAGAGATCACATTCGCTTACCAAAGACCAAAAGCCAATGATGTACGGACAGATCCTGGCAACTTGGGACAAATGAAAGGACCCACAACAAAGGGGGGAATTAAGGTGACCAAATCCAATCCATGCTGGGCTGCAAAGTCAAGAACCGCCTTCTCTGTTAATGTCTTGGAGATCATGTATGAACCTCCAAAAAGTTTCAATGTTCTAATATAATCCACATCGCTCCAAAAACTCTCATCCATCACTGCCACATCTTTGCTCTTATTGTTGAACACAACAGCAGAAGCACTGGAAGTGTAAACAACTCGTCTGACCGTCTTTGATTTCAAGCATGCCTTTAAGATGCCTAGTGTTCCATCCACTGCCCTGTTCACTATCACTTCGGCTGGTTCTCTGTCTTCGAAATCTACTGGAGTAGCCACATGAAAGACTCCCCTGCATCCTTCAATGGCTGCATGGAAACTGTCTGGATTGCTGAGATCTGCTTTGAAGATTTTCAGCCTTTCATTTGCGCCAGGCAGATTTGTAAGGAAGCTGGTATCTCTTATCTGCTCTGCTCATAATTAAGCCAAAGAGACATAGTATCCAACAACTGATGATAAACAACCCTTGAACTCAAATAAAGGAAACTGTAATTGATTATTACCTGGATGAGTTCTGATGGTGGCATGGACACAGTAACCCTGTTGAAGGAGCCGCATGACCAGCCAGGAGGCGATGAAGCCTGTACCACCTGTTACACACACCTTTCCATTTTCTCCTTCCATTTTTCTTCTCTTTTCACCGGACAGGATGAGCATCAAACAGAGGCTGCCTTGTCTATATCAGCTCTTTGTTATTTATCTAACACTTGATTGAAAAGTAGATAGCTTAGGACAAACGAATTTTCATCATAATTAATGAGACAACAACTTTCTGTCCCACCTTCTAACGAACATGAGAATCTGGTTTTACCAAGCATGAACTTTGGTTCCAGCTACACTCTAGGCAATGAATAATACTTTAATGGAAATGTGACAGCATAAAATACTTTTATTTCAAGGTGGGTAAATTAGTACAAAGCGAACTTCATGCCTAGATGAAAACGAAAAAAGAAAGGACACCACTTATTTGTAGTAATGCTTTGTGATATGCCAATTGTCATAGGGCAATTCATGGCCCATGAGCAGTTACTTGGACTTTATTCCTCATCAAAAAATAGAAGCCACATAATGTATAGCAGTTATATCCTTATTTCAGATAGCCTTTCTCCTTGCAGCATTTAACATTTCTTCAATTCCATACTTAAATTTGAAGCCACTTTCCAATAGTTTCCTTGATGACAACGCTGGTGTTTTATAGCTTTTGATTTCTGCTAAGGAACTGCAAATAAAATTGCAACAATTTGCTTTCAAATTTCAACCTGAAGATAACCAAAAGGCCAAATCTCCTATTTGCACCCTGCACATTATTTTTTCCTATGATCAACACCTTCAAGAATTTTTACTTACGATCAATACTTTCAATAATTTAAAACCCATAAAAACCCCCAAAATTAACAATCGAACCCCCAAAAATTAAAAGTACTTAACTTTATTGGTAATTTGGGTTTTTTGTGGGATTCAAATTATGGATTATT